GTAAATATTATCAGCCATAAATCCATCACAGATTTCCCATCCTATTGTCTGAAGATGGGCAAAGATGAAAACGTTTCCATGGAAATCCCTTCAGGTTGTGCCTGTTATCTGGTATTCCAGTACAAGAACTCACCTGTCTGTTAAAATCAAAACCAAAAGGGGCATATTTGCTAAACTCTATTGCTTCTAAAATTTTGTCAGTAGTTGAACTTGAAAACAGCTTAATGGATCCCATAATATCAGTAGTGTGGACATTTTAGCCTTGGGCTGAGATAAAACCAAACAATGGGTTTTTTTCATCTTCCACTAAACCCATCACAATCTAGTTATTCTTTTACTTGAAATTCTGTTTTGAAGTTCTTTGCTGAATTGAAATGGTTTCTTTTAACAGCAAAGATGATGGTAAAGATGCCTAGTTTAGCCTCACAGTTGACAGCTTTCTGTCATTCTTTGTTGTTGGAAAGGAGGGTAATGGTAATTATGGTTTCTCCATTTATGTTTCCTGAGCGATTGCAATTCTTAGCTGTAGACATGAAATATATGTATCATAAGGTCAGTAGCAGTTGGTAACTTATTGAAGCTAGTAAGTAAATTGCAGTAAGAAACCATAAGTACAAATGACTTTCTTCAGAAGGGTAGTCTACCCTGAGCCACAAAAGATAAATGGGAGCTGAGCAGTGCTGTGTAGCCAAGCTTTGAAGAGAAAGTAAAGCATTCCTCTGCTTTGAACAGAACAGGCAGAGCATGTACCCTTGCTAAATTCCTTACGATCTCTGACTATTGTCTGACAAAATGTTTATTTAAGGTTTTATAAAAATTTGACTGTAAGATATTTTTATGACTTTAAGTGCTAAATAGTCTGGAAAGTCTGTATTCAAGGATCTGTGTCAGATCATCCTGCCATGGTTGCAATGAATGTGGGCAACTAAAGCCATCTGTAAGGAGGGAGGTGAATTTGGTGTGAGCGTTTTGGCTTTGGAAATTGGTTCATTTGTGTAGTGTAGTGCAGAAATTTGAGCTTCTTTAGCTTCTGGGCATGGCACTGAACCTGTTGTTTATACATTTTCAATGGATCTATTCTATAAATAAGGAGGAAGATCAGAATTTTAGTCTGTAAAGTAATGCTCAAGCATGACAAAACAGAATTCAAATTGCAAAGCAACTTGTCACTCACTATTTCAGAAGTTCTACGTTCCTTAGGCTTTTCAAGACAATGCAATAGATTTATATAAGCAATTTGGTAAATAGTTTCACTCTTCTTGAGAGAAGTTTAAGTGCTCTTTCTTTACTTAGCATTATAATGAAATAAGAGATGAATCAGGTCAAGGTGACCTGCTCTCTATACCAGAGCAGGTTTATCATGCTGTCTTGGAACGTGGTTAGAAATAATATCATGCAGCTTACTATGAAAATATGCCACACAGCACCTTCAGAATTGAAATCTAACCTTCAAACTAGAACAGTGTGTCTAGAGCCCTTTGTGATCTCAGACATGTAAAAAAAATCTTAGATTCACAATTGAAATTTCAGCATTGGAGATTTCAACTGAAAATCCCTTTATGCACTTTACTGTTGCCCACTAAAGAGTGTTTTATAACAAAAATGTCTAAGAAATTGAAGTGCTTTCTCCTTTTAAATGGTCTCATTTTTGTTCACGAGAACCACACTACACAGTCAGTTTGAAGTTGTTGACCAAAGCTTTGTGATTAGGATAACATATGAGTTTTCTCAGTGGTTATATACATGAAACATATGGTTTGTTTTTCATCCCATGTTTATTGAATGGGAAAAATGAAAATTATTATAAAATTTCTAGTAAATTTTCATCTTTCTTTCAAGTCAAACACCTTAATTGCTTAGCTGGAGGGCTGTGGTGATCTTGTGATATTTTTGATGTATTTGGCTTATTTAGCTAATAATGAAGATGAAAGATTTGATGAAGTAAAACATTGGGCTTGATCCAATGTTCAATGATTTTTGCAGATATAATTAACATTATTACTGTTATCATTGGTATGCAGCATCCAGGAGTTGCTATTGCAGCTGCTCTTTCTGTAAGTGATTGAAATCTTCTTGATATCTGTAAAAATTTGTTGGAGATGCTCTATCTTTCTCTACCTTCCTAATTCATCTGAAAAAAAACATGACAATGCCTTAACTATTACTTTCATATGGTTGTTACTGTACACATAGATTAGAAAATTACTCATGATTCTTTTGAAACAAATGGCAAATACAGAAAAAAAAATGCTAGTTATCGTGGTTGACCTGAATATTCATTCGTCTTTACAAGAAAGTGGTTTTTGAAAAAAATCCACCTCCTACAAATGCTGGAGTCAGTGAATATACTGAGGGATCACTGCTGACTCAGCTTAGAACGTTTTGCAAGTCGTGGTATGTTATCACTAATGGTTACTGACAGAAAAGTCAGTCACTAACATCTCGTGGTACTGCAGGGCTATTAAAAACACTTAGCTTCTCTTTGGTATATTTGGTCCTGATCAGCTATCTCACGTCAGACTTTGAAGTGTGTGATGCACTCTCATATTCAGGAGGAATAGTGTGTTTAGTGCAGACTGCTTCTGGGAATCTAAGATGGGTCAGACGGGTGAATCTTACATACAAATGGGAAAAGGACCCTTTTGCATCCTATGCTTAGACTGCTGTTAACATTCAAGTTTTTTTAAATCATATAACAGCTGTGGTTGCTAAACATTTCCTAATTACTGTGAAATGTGAAATGTTGTAAAACTATTTCCATTATCCTCTTTATTGTAGGCTTCATCTTCACTAAGCCAACTTTCAAAAAGTATTCAGCTCCAGCAATTGATGTTTATTTTCCACATTTATGACATGGTCATAAATTACACTGAAAGACTTAGGAGCCTTAATATTAGTGCCATATCTACCTAAACCTCACAAAAATCTAAATCTGACAGGCTAAGTTTTGAACACTGATGCTGATATTCTTTCACAACACTTTGTTGGCTGGGGTTTTCTTTGGTCAAAAAAGCAGATGTAGAATATATTTGTCTGATAGCTCAGACAATGTGGAAGCTGGAACTTTCACAACTAGCCTTTCTGATAGCAGCTTTTGCTATAAAGGTGCTGATTTTGCACATAGAAAAACTTGTGAATTTGCTTTTCTTGAGTTTTTTTGCTATAAAGGTGCTGATTTTGCACGTAGAAAAACTTGTGGATTTGCTTTTCTTGAGTTCATCTAGAGTATTTTCTATGAGTTAAAAATGCTTGTGCAGAATAGGTAGGAGGTGTGAAGGATTATAAAGTACCATTCTGAAGAAGGGTTTATAGTAGAGTCTTCTCTATACAGTTGCTCAGGAACATAAGACAACTGAGAATGCAAAATAAAATAGTAAGCTGAAACCTCATAAAAATAATAAATTCTCATATTTCAAATAACTTGGTTTAGATTTTGTCAGATTTTTCACTGTAGAAAATAGAGAAAACAAAACAGTTCTCCCCTGTTCCCTAAACACTCTTGTCCTGTCTGTAGCTTCTCTTAGATTTCAAACTTAGTTTGCTTATTAGTTTACTTATTCGCCAGGCCTGCTTTCAAAAAGCATCCTTTGGAATTCTCCTTCTAGGGAATTCTTTTAGCCTGTGTGGTTTTTTGATGTCCTGTTTTTCTCCTTTCTTTTTTAAAACAAATTTTGGTTTTAGCTGCTTCTAAGAATAAAGTGTATTTAACATTCAAATCCCAACATACTGTTCAAATTGTTCATTATACTTTCAAAATTCTGTTGATTGTAGAATAACTTCACTGCTCCTTCAGGTACTTCAAACTGAGTAGCCTTGACCTTTTTTCCACACACAAATAGCCTTGAATGTTTGTTACTATAATAAAAATACTGAATGTATTTTATATGTAATTTCACTCTAAGTACAGAAAAAAAAATCCAAGGAACCATGCCATCCTGAATTAGTGCAATGCTGAAAAATTGGCCTTTTTTAAAAAAAAAAATGACTACATGCAAGATGTCAACTGATTTCAATAGTCATAAGTAACGTGAAAGGAAATGGCAGTGCAGGAACAAGACTTGTGCTAAGAGAATGTCCCCCAAACTGAATCCCTTTAGAGTTAGTGTCAGCCTTTGGCTTGCCTATGTATTACTCAGAGAGTGATGCTCAGCTAGAATCACTGAAAAATTTGTTTTCCTGCTCAGTGCTAAATAAAACTAAATAAAGCCTCACTCTTACAAACTTTCACGGATTTAGCATTACTTCTGACATAAAATATTTGCAGGCTAACATAAAAATAGTTCAAAGTGCAATTTTAAATTGCCATGTGTTTTTCTTAAAAAGCTAGTATTTTATCCAGCATGATGTTATTACAAATACAACCTACCAAACAAAAAAATCACACCTCCTCCCTCCTGCCCCTGCCCCCAATAAAAGTAGCAGCAAGTATAGCTAGAGTTATGTTGGGAATAATGATATATATCATCACATGAATGAGTTCTCTAGTACCTTATGCTAAGCTATTTGCTTTCATACTATGACCTGGCCTAACATATCGCTTCAAAATATATTCTTACTTGAGATACACAGATGTAAGATTCCTGTTAAGCAGGACTTACTCTATAGTACCCAGAACTGCTAGTCACATACAGATTATGTTTCTTTTATCTCTCGTATGCCCAGATGTGACTACAGATTTTTTTTCCATGCAGAAGATATGTCTGGATAGCATTTGAAGATTTTGCGCTCTCAGCTGAGAATGCACTAAGTGTGTATTGTACAAACCAGTCAGGAAGTACATGAGGTGTGAATCTGAGACAGCTTGGGCAACTGTGTATTTGTACAGTAAATCAATTCAGTTGCACTGATTTCATTGGATATTTGTGTCAGTTCAGTGGTGTCAATTCTTCCAAATCCAAGGCAAAACCAAGCTGTGGTTCTACCAAAACTGCCAGATGCTTTGGTTATCAACAACCACTATCACAATATTTCAAACTATACTACCTGTAACAAAGCTGTAG